GAACCTTAAACAAAAATGTGTTTTATGAAAATATAACTTTTCAGAAAGTAGTACCTAATACACGATTTAGAGTCAATAATTCAGTGGAGTACTAAATTTCAACATTCCTAACAACAAATGGTACTTTCATTCTATACTGCAAGGTTGGAAACACTAAGAATATTGGCCTCGATGGTTTTCAAATTGCATTATAGTAAGTAATACTATACGTACACAGTTGTTAATGTTGTTACTGACTAATAACTATGCATTATAAGTATTAAAATGCATGAAATGTAAAAATATACACTATTTAAACCTATACAAATTATCAAACAAATGTACACAATTTAGCTATTATACAACATCAATAAATAGGTACTAATAAGTGCTATATTATTATTAATATAGATTATTAGGTATTTAGGTACCCTAGGTCTATAGGTAGTTAAGAACATATTACGCACCTAAGTACTGTTGATATGCTAATCATTTTGTTTACTTGATAGGTACGTAGTAAGTTTCCCTACTTATAATAAGAAAAGTATTTTTGTTATTATCAGTAAACAACAATATTTCGTAATAGTTGAATAATAGTTGTATATTATGCAGAATGTTGTTGATTCATTTTACGATATTAAACTGCTAGACCAGTATATTGAATAATATTTTTTGAATTTAAAAACTTCTCTTCGCGTATAATATTACTAATATTAGTATATAACAATTAACAGTAGAAAGAATAAATGTCTAAAGTATTAAAAATAAATTGTTTACTATTTTAAACCGGATTTAAGGTCACCACACACTGCAGCGGTAGCGGTGGCGATGGAGGTGGCGGCGAAATGAAGCCGGACTCAATTTTACCGCCACCGCGGCGGCACCGCCAAGACAAAAGAATTTTACTGCCACTGTTGCAGTGTGTGGCAACCTTTAAACTGCTTTGAAGAACATCAACAAATATTATCAAACATTAACTGTGAACTACTATTGTGTTTAGTATTTATTTATTATGTTCCAGTTTAATTTAATAAAAAAAATTCTAAAAAATAAACTACTCGACTTAGATAAATATTTTTACCATCAAAATTGTTCTTATAATCAGATTCACAAATAGATTATTTTGAATTGATCCAAATATTAATTATTAAATTTAAATTTTTTTACATTCAGTACCACAAAATAAACATAAAAAATGTAAAGTATTCTATGACAAATATAAAACCCGAAACTAAATTACTCAATTTATTTTAGGTCGTATCGTTTTTTTTTTTTTTTATGGCAACAAATGTTTTAAGAAAAAACTAAACTGGAAGATGTGCTGGAAAACAGAGTTTTCCTTTAATTTATCTGATGGATGGGTTTTATTTCGAAAACCACTTCCTAATAATAATATTATATTATATTATATTATCGAATGATACTTGGACGTGTTTCTGCCATGTTACCCCGTCCGAGGGGCAAATATTATAACCAACTTGGTTTCCTCTAGAGATTCATATAATTTATATTTAAATAAAATCATTGAAATGCAATATCGTTGTTGTATTATTATGCGCCATAGTACAACTTGTACAACCCGTAATCTAATACAAAATTAAAAATATTAATTGATAAAATTCAACAAAAATAATATAGGTTATAATGTTATATACAGATAAAAATATATATATATTACATTGTTGCCTATCAAAAACCTACACTCTAAATATATATATATATATATATATATGAGGAATATATGAAATCGTTTGATCAAAAATAAAAGCAAATAAATTACGATATGATTCTGAACACGTTGTATAGATTGTATTAGGTGTGTGTACTATTATAAATTATTAATAGAATAACCGATAAATTTTTCACTACTCGTTTTTAATTATTTAATATTGTAATAATTAATGTACCATAACGTTAATGGTTTGAATCTTAAAATAAATAAGTTATTAAGAAAAATTATTTACGAACTCCTATCTTAACAGAGTTGAAAATGAACACGATAAGTGAGTTTAAAAGTATTATTAAAATAAATCATTTTAATCAAAAACGACTCGAGGCCAAAATGATTTTATTCAAAAGAATGTTCCCTTATAATTGTCACCTACTTTTAGGATAAACTAAATAAAATATTTACGATATAAATTGTGTTTAAATTTCGATCTAATTTTGGAATGTTAACAAAATTTTAGATTCTGAAAGAAGCGATGAATAAATGGATACTTGAGTATAATTTTTGGTAGCAAAATGGATTTTGTTGGTACATTGGTGAGTCAAAAGTAAAAAATTACTAGTATTTTTCAAAAAAATTAAGAAAAATCGATAATTTGTATACACAAACGCAGTTTTAGACAAAATCTAAAGAAAAGATTAACCGTAAATTCTTGACATTTTCACATAATGTTAATTTTAGTAATTCCTTTATACATGACATTACACATACATATTTAACAATGTATTTTATGTTTAACAGTTTTATTTCTTTTTTATAAAAATGTCGATGAAAAAATGTTCACTCCACCCAAAACGTTAAAAATTTAATACCAGGTCCTCGAAAAGTTTCTATTACTTAAAGCTATTTTAAAGAATTAAATATACATAAACACAGCGTTTTTTTAAGCATTTGAAGTTCAAATTTCAACGAAAAGCAGATATTTAAACGAAGAATAAAGATTTTAGTTATATTGACGCTCTCAAAAATATTACAACAATATTGTCAACTTGAATTTTATATTCTTTTAATTTGTTTTACACAGTATGATATTTTCAAATAAAATGTTTTCAGCAAAAATTAAATCAACCAACTATATTACCAATGGAAAAATAAATTAATAAGCTGATAGGCCGTCATTGCTATGAKAATCGTTTTTTATAATATACAAATTATGCAATGATTCATCGTTGAATTCAAATTTTACACATATATTTAATTTGAATTACATGAATTACAATGACAATGTCCACACGAGACCTACTTGCAATACAACAAAGCGGTTACCTACTTCGATTACCCCTTCTTTTTCAATGATGGTTTTGAATGATTATATCATTATGCATGGTTAGGTCAATGACCGGAGTAAAACAAATGCTCGAACTTAACATCCGTCAACCAAACATCCAGAATCTAAAATATAGAACAATTATTTAAAACAAATAGACATAGTTTAAAGACTAATGCCTAACGGTTATATATTATTTTGGAGAGGTATCCAATATTGTTTMATCGGAGTAAATTATTTGAACAAGATAATTATTGTTTTCCGTAAACCGTAAATATTATTCGTGTTATTATATTCTCTTACGACCGTTTGTTCATTCAACATGGTGTTTAAACACGATCAAATTATTTTTAATGATTATACATATACCTAATGCAAATATGTGATATTAGAAAATTAGATTTGTTTAGATTTATTGCCATACAATTATTAATTATTATCAAATCGTGAATTTATTAATTCGATTGATTTGCTAAGTAATTTAAATAATAATTCATTTGGATTTTGTCAACAATAATTTTTCCTCAATATTTAAATTATTTAAATTATAAAATATATAAATATACATTTAATAATATGTACTTACCCTGAACCAATTGTGACCTTTACTATTGTGTAGATTCATATAGTAATAATTATTATTTTATTTTTGATGATTAATAATTATTCATCATAACACGCTATAATAATAATAATTATAACATTTATATTTAAACTTGCAAGATATATTTATAATATATAATATATAATATAAAATATAATTTGTGGTTATTGAGCAACATAAAATAATAGATCAGTTTAAAACGATAATAACATAGGTACCTGTACATATGTATTATTATGACATTGTCGTATTGGTGACGAAACTTCATTTACGCCGCTAATCTTAATGAAAATACAAATATGGTAATAGTATTATAGTAATAAGTAAAAAACAGAATATGATATAAATTAGTGTGCTTCAAAAATAGAATAGAATTTAATAACGATGAGACAGGAAAGGTTACAGTTTAGAAACCACTGGTGTACGATAGCAAAAATGAAAACATCACATTATACCTAGGTATACTTAAGGTTTATGCTACTTTTTGATTGCTGTTCTTGTGCACATGTGCAATGTAACGATAGATAATTAATTTTTATAAAATAATATGATGAAACACAATAATTTTTAAGTAACACTATTGGTGGAGGCATTTTAAATATATGTTTACTGCGCATAAACCTGAAAGGACATATTGTGAGTAAAAAAATAACTTATTATATACCTACCATTCTGAAATTGATGATTTACAAAACAGACGTATAACATAAAGTTTCGTGCTTAAATAAACGCAGTGATATCAGTTCAAAATATATCTATTAAAAAAATTTAATATATTTACATCAAAATGTGTTTTTTTAAACCTAACTATTGTGATATTTTAAAACTTTTTATCATTATATAGTATTTGATTAAATTATTTAACAATTAGTATTGTAAGGTTAATAGTTTTTTGAATTTTTTACAAAATTTAGACATAGAACTATAKAAGTAAAAACATATAGATATTCGTTTTTTTTTGTATATTTTATGTTTTAAATAATTGTAATAGATAAGCGATCAAAAAAATATCGTTTCAGAACACAAAACACTTTATAGATTATAACTATAACTAACTTTAAAATTCATAATTTCACTTATACCTACCATACAAACTCTTACCTACTTTGTTATATTATTATTATGTTTCGTTAAAAACAATCGCTGTTTACAATTACATATACTGACGGCAACACGACATACGTTTAATAATATAGTAATAATATGCAATATTTGGCTTTATTTTTTAATTTAATTTAATTTGTACTCTACTACTGTATAATTGTTGAGCTGTATTAGTTGTTACTTAAGCTATTAATAAAAACAAAATTTAAAAAATGTAATATTATCAATTTCATTCTAACTAGGTAAAAATATAATATTATATAATACAAACGACCTCGAAGCTACGAAATCTGCAGTTGGGCTGGTTGTGCAAAAAATGAAACTATCATTGCGCCTCTCTTACTCTCACTCTCATTCTCTATCCAGTGTACCTCGGACAGCGATGGAGGGAGGAACGCCAACCGACTGGACGATCTAAGCAATAATATTGTGACCTACTGTGGAACGCAATCGGTTCTCAAGTATTCCACTCTTATGCGGGGTGAACGTATAAAATATTTTTATTTACACACACGTGAGTGAGCTGTCATCGTCGTCGTCCGCTCCGATTTTTCACGAAAACTGTGACTGAGGTCATCAGTCATTTAACACCAATCTGAATACGACCTATTATACCATGTTGGAACCCAACGTGTACAACATTGTGTTGATCCCGTTGGCGATTTTGATATCGTACGCGATATGGTTGCGACTCCGGAAGCCACTGGAATACCGGCGGATCTCGTCGCACGTGCCGTCCGCCACGAAAAGTCTTTGGAGCGAAATTATGTTTTCGTGCACCATAGCGATGAAGCACCCTAGAGGTACGGATCTATGAACTTCCGAAAGTGATATAGTTTATTTGTTTTTTTTTATTTAAATATAAGCAGAGGCCTAAAATTGTATTAATGGTACCTATACATTTAAGTAATTTTTAATAAATATATACAATAATTTAAATTGATTACAGTTAATACATTGATAATAAAAGTTATTTCGTACTATACTAATTATATAATATTATAACGGCATGAATATCATTATAATTATACTATAAAACTGTAAAATTGGTCAATTGTTATATTTTTATACACCCAAAATTCCGTGATTTGCCAAGCATGCTCGTTTCATTGTATTATTTTATATAAACTATAAAGCAATAATTAGTCAAATTTGATTTTTTAAATTTAAAATTCCACATTAACGCCAAGGAAGTAATGAGGTACCTACTTAACTACTTGAATAGGCGTTATATCATTAAGGAGAATGCCTTTTGTTTACAGTAAATTGTTAATCAAATGATTATTTTTGAAAATATTTATGTATTTATACAGTTTAGATTCAGAAAATATTTGTTGAGCTATAAAACTTTGTGCACTACTTTAACAATAATTATGGTTTTATATAGAATAAAAAATTTCAAATATTTAATGCTTAGTCTAATAGTTATACTAAATTTGGATAATTTTCATAAATTATCCAAATTTAATAGATTAATATAGTTTTAAGAAAATTATCGTAGCACAATATATCTTCTATATCTATCATCGCAAAATATTATATTTAGTACATAAATCTATTTTACCGTATCAACTAATAATTAGTATTTTCAACGTACCTACGACCTATACCATAAAAATAATAAGTTTCTTTCACCACAGACGTAGCGTTCAAGGATATAACAACTCTAATTAATTGAAAATCTCGTTTTTAGATTAAATTTGGTACAATTTCTAAAAATCAAAAACTTGATAAGTACAAAGGTATAACTTATAAAAATTATAGCGAGTGAGCATACGCGTGGTGAATCACATTGTATAAATGTATAACGATTAATTTACATACTTTTACGTAGGTAAAACAATAGTTTTAAGTGATTTTTGTATTTATACATAACACAAAATTGTATATGAACGTTTATCAAAAAACTTACAAATTTTTACCTTTTGAGTGATTTTTTCATAATTATTTATTTTTTTAACAGTATTTTCAATATAAAAACAATAGATACTGCACTCATCACTGTTAAATTTCGCAGGATAACCCGTGTTTCTTTTGACTTAAGTTAAAATTATTTTAAGCCATTCAATCTTAAATAATTCTCGCTGGACTTATTGAAACTCGAGTTTTTCGTAAAATCAGCCATCAATTAAATCTGTAATAACAACTTTTCATTGAAAGCTACCAGTTGTTAAATTTTTACAAGAACCAAATATCAGTACGATTAGCTGATAAAAATGCATAAACAAAACAACTAGCATGCTGAATTATGTATGTAAATAGGTATAGGTAGGTACATCTGGGAATAATGACTATGCATACCGCGCTTCCGGTAAATCCGTGTAATCAACGCGTGCAGGTCTATATTAAATAATATGATGTCATTTAAGTATAATATCTATATTCATGTGAGCTTAAAATTTAAATCAAATAATACCATTTGTAGCACCCTAGCTAACCTATGTTTTTAAAAAATAATGAAAATATGACGATGTTCGTTCCAATAACAACCTGCAGAAATAATAAAAATTAATTTTAAATTTATAAAATTCGAATGAAATAAAACTTTAATACTTTAATAAATGATAATTTATTTTACATATTTAGAGTAAGTGCGATAGTTTTTATGTTAACTATAAATTCCACAGATTATAAGTTCCTGCACTAAATTAATATTATGGGCTGTATTTAAAATGTTTAGTCTACCTATGTCGTTTAAGTACTTCTTTGTGTTTTAAAAATTTCTGAACGATTAAGTCGTTTAATCGAAGATATAATTTATAAATTAATTTTATTGCGTAATCTACACATAATATAGCATATTCTATTCCCTATACATTTATATTTCTTAATTACATTTCCGTTACAATGATGATTGCAATACGATCAGACATTGTTTAGTCTTTAGTTAACTCCTCAAATATAATATTACAACCTTCATCAACGATTCAAACCTAACAGTCAACGAATTCCACCGAATCGTACAATTCATTTTAGCTTGGACATCAATTACGCAGCTAATAAAAGCTGAGGTGTCGATTTCACTACAACATAATCTAAAATAATAATAATTCAGGATTTTCAAGTTATTTTTTTTTATTATACAACTATTTTTGAACTTTTTAAGTTCACTCGATCATTTTGATTAGTTTTTAATTGATTTTTTTATTGGAAATCGATTTTTTAGCGGCATTCAACTTTTTGATTATCTACCTCAATACAAACGTTCTAGTTCATCAAAATACATTTAAACTGGATTTATCTAATTTGTTGTTCAGCTTTTCTCGATTCCGAACGAATTGTAAACGTACGATGTTTTCCTTTTTATGGGTACTCTTTTTAAGTTTGAAGTCTATAGTCGGTGCTCGGGGGAGGTAGTTTCTCGATTCTTTCAATAATTGCCCTTGATCGTAAGCGAAACAATAAAAAAATGTTCACGGAATGAAAAAGTTTAAACTGACGTAATTTTTACCAAACACAGCTTAAAATCGATGACGCGATTTTTTTCATTGTTACAACATAAACGTTTTGTTGTGAACAATATTGTATTTTCTTAATCGCTCTTATTTTAAATAAAAAGCTTAACTTTCATAATAAATTTTAAAAAAATATTGGTTTTTTAAAATAACCTAATTTTTCCTTAAAATTTATCTGCCTGATTGAACTTAAATGGAAATATAATTAAGTTCCACTATATTATATTACGAGTATAATCAAAACATTTTTATAAAAAAATTGTAAACATATAGTATTTATAACATTATATTTATATAGATGACCTACACGAAATCTAAATTTTTTTTTAATAATTTTAGATTTATTGCCATTCTTCATGGAAATATTTCGAAACAACGGTCCAATCGTTCATGTAAATATTACTGGACGGTCATATGTATTGTTAAATGATCCAGATGACATAAAAGTGAGTAAATTATAATTAATAAATGTACCGTTTAAGCTGTACTAAAGTTATTTAAGGTCCATTGATTTTAATATCTTGCGCTCATTCCTCTACATCGATTATGTAGGTACGATTACTTCAACGATAATTTAATACATTTAAAACACGTATTATATGATAAAAATATTAAATTAAGTACGATTTTTAATGTCAATAGTATTTTCGATAAAAATATCATTTTCATTTCATAAAAGCCTTCATCGTATAACCACACAACCCACTATTATCGTAAATCTATAATTAGACCTTTTGGAAGTCTAGCAAGAAGACAATGTATATACCAATGATCTCGAGATTTCTCAGGACATTGATATAGCAGAGGTGTCTAATACTGACCACAATTTTTTTTTAAATAATTTTTTAAACATTTAAATACTTAAAAAACTCACTATTGAAGTACCATCGGCGAATGGCTCATTTATCAGTCCTCTGTGTTAGCCTTATAATATTTATTTTTATCAATCATTTACCTAATTATTCACCTGTTATCTCTTATCAACCGTATTAATTGTACCAAATATATTATGTACACTATACAGGTTGAAGAATAGGTTATAGGTTCTAATAATAAATAGTTATATTCTTATATTATCACAAATTAATTTTAAGGAATATGTATTACATTTTATTAGAAACTAAATTTTTTCGGCCACTTATTATTTTGACTATAAATATTTATAAAAATTTAACAAGTTGATAATATTTTAGTCCTAAAACTATATTTCATGTGCAATGCGAATACCGTAGAATAATAAAAGCGGAGATATTGATGTGCACGAATCAAATAAATACAATACGATAAATTAATTTCAAGGTTTGGGATAAGATAAAAACGAAAATATGCAATAAAAAAAATATATATATTTCTGAACGTTATCATTATACGTGTAAAAAATACTAAACATTAATGATAGATTGAACGTTATTTGATTTACTTCTTCTTGAGTTATAATTTAATTTTAAAAAAAAAGTGATTTCGTGGAAATCGCTATCGTGTTTTTTTGCCATGTAACACTGTCTTGGCAGTTAATTTAATTATCTGAAACCTCTCATAAATATAAAATATGGAAATAAAACATTTATTTGTGTTGAATTATAGATTCTGTTATCCAGTACACAGTACATAAACAAAGGTCCCGAGTATGAGATGTTAAAACCGTGGCTGAACGATGGCCTTTTATTAAGCTCGGGTAAATAACCAATATTTTTTAAATAATTATTATTTTTATTATAACATGTAAACAATCATACATATTTTCAAGGCTTGAAACCGGTTATTTCCCAAAATGTTTTCCTTAAAATCATTTAAAAGAGATTTACAACTCATCAAATCGTGTCATTTTCTGTTTATTTAAGACAAAGGTATAACACTATGTAACCAGCATTCTGTTACCTATGTATTGAATATACAGAACACATAACAACACGGTGAAGCCCCCATTACCGTTATTTTAAACTGATTTTCATTCCAGGTTATCAATTTCCGGTTACCATAAAAATGTTTCAGTTAACATAAAACTTTGCAATAACATAATATCTTTTAACTGGTTAAGACTCGATTACCGATATTTAAAAATACGGAGTGCCGATGACTACGGTTACTCATGAAGTATAATATGTTTAATTTATTTTAGCTACTAAAATAATGTAAACTTGTAACTACTATGATTGTTTTATAATAAATTATTTCTTAAAACCATTCTTAAGTCATACTACACAGGTATTAATATTGTTTTCGAAAACAAACATTCCGGTAACTGAACTTTTTTTGAAACGATTATCGTTTAATCGGTAACCTATAATCTTTAATATAGTGTCGGAAACAGGTAACGACAAGACCGGTTTAAAACCAGTAACCAATATCAATTTTTTTTTTTTTTTTATTTCCAAACCTAACTGACAATTTCGATACGGTTTCAAGCCCTGCATAATTGATAAAAAAAAAAAAACATATGGATTAGGCATACATACAGCAGATAGCTAGCAAATTGTTAAACATCATTTTTTAGGTCTGAAATGGCAAAACCGTCGGAAGTTACTGACCAACACCTTTCATTTTAAGACATTAGACATGTACAATCCTGCCATCAATAAGCATGCAAAGGTATTTACGAAAAATCTTTTGGAAGCATGTGCGGACGATAAAGAAATCTCCATCATAGAATACGTGACATTATGTTCTCTAGACATCATCTGTGGTAATAATTGCTATTGCATTTTTTTAAAAGTTCAACGCGTGCAACTTTATAAGTTGAAACATTTCGTCAAAATATTAGGTTTTCAAAATCTTGTTTAAATTGTATTCGGAATTTTAGTTGATTGAGTTTGTATTAAAATACGTTTGGAAACAAATTTCAACTGGCGCCATTTTGATACTTAGAAACTATTTATAGCTTATAATAATATTATTGATAAATATTGCAGTCAGGTCTTTAGTCAAAACAAAAACTAATAAGTAAAAGCTTAAACCTATTAAAAAACATTAAAACTCATATTTACCTAATTTAGGCCAATCAATCAATAGATCTCACTATTTATTAAACGTCTTTGAAATTAAACCATTTTAGCATACATTTCTGTGAGTCACAGACTGTGACTAAAATACCCATAGAGTAATAATAATAATAATAATAATAATAATTACTCTATGAAAATACCTATAACCACAGATTATATGAAAAAATATATAATTATATAAAATTTTTATATAATCTGTGCTATACCTAAAAAATCCTAATAAACTAATTTGTTGTCTTAGAAACAATTATGGGCACTGAAATGAATGCTCAAAAAGGGAAATCAATTGAATACGCCCATTCCATTAAAAGGTACAACCTAACATGTTGTATTTTAATTTATATTTACATTTGTAGCAATACTACAAAATGCTAATTTACAATTATTGTTTTTAAAGTGCTTGCAGGTCAGTGATTGATCGAGTTTTTAAATTTTGGCTTTGGAATGATCTGATCTATAGAATAAGCGAAAGTGGTCGGTCGTTTTTTAAATCAATTGGAGTGTTACACGATTTTACTGATAATGTTTGTATACTAAAAAATCTATAATTTTATATATAGTGACTTTTTTATTATGACAATAGCAATAGACATAAGTTGCAGTGTTTGCTTTCTCCTTTTTTAAATCATGACTATTTTCAAATCACAACCGATATTCTCTAAAATTTACTTAACAATTTCTGTGACTCGTTCATAAAACCTTACATTAAATAAATCCGTTCGAGAAAATCGAAAAAAATATAACTCTCCTATATTTTTAAAAACGAGGAATATTCAGTACGAAATCTAAGAGCCTATGCCTATGCTTGTGTCATTAGAGGTTATTAGATTGTGCCACAGAGTTGTACCGCATTTTAAAGTAATCCATTGACTGACCAAATACCATATTTGTCTTTAATTAATATTATAGGTTATCAAACGTAAACAATCATTGTTAAAAAATTCTGAAAATCAAATTGTTCAGCCCGAAAGCAAACCAGCTGGTACGTACCTACCTACAAATTATAGTTATCAATTTTCCTATCTGCGGGCATTATTTCCAGTTTGATGAGAACGCATACTTTTTCGTGCTTATAATCGTTTAGAAAAAAGGAAAACGAAATCGTTCTTGGATTTACTTCTGGACGTTTTCAATGACAACCCGGATCAGATGACTATTAAAGACATTCGAGAAGAAGTAGACACATTTCTCTTCGAAGGCCACGACACGTCGGCAATATCGATGACTATGACTCTTTTATTGCTGGGGATGCACCAAGATATTCAAGTAATAATATTTGTATTTTTTTTTCGTACATTGTTTTTCAGTGTGCGTAACATTTTAAATATAAAAACAGTTACTTTAAGGATCGCGCTAGAGAAGAGCTATATGGTATATTTGGTGACTCCGATCGAGATGCAACTATGGAAGACTTAAATGCCATGCGATATTTAGATGCAATCATTAAAGAATCACTTCGACTTTATCCTAGTGTTCCTAGTTTTACGAGAGAATTAGAAACAACGTTAAAGCTCAGTAAGTATTTTCCTTACTTGAAATATTAGTGATAAAATTAATATACTATCGTGGGAACAATTTTGGCCGTATAAACACATGCTTTACGAATACCTACCTAATAGTATATTAAAGGGAAACTGGAATATTTAAATATATACTTGATCCTTTATGTTTCATGTATATTTAATAATTATTATGTATAAATAATAAATATAAAAAAATATGTTGATATTATTTTTCGCTAGATAACTACAGAATTCCTCCAATGACAACAATGGTGATATTTCCCTACATTTTACACAGGAATGAGAACATTTTTACACAGCCTGAAGACTTTATTCCTGAAAGATTTTTAGACGAAGACAATAAATCAAAATTTTTATTTAGTTACATTCCATTCAGCGCAGGCGCAAGAAATTGCATTGGTAATTTAAACTTTTTATTTCGTACAGTATCCGAGAGATTAAATAATAAAATATTTTCGTTTACATACTAACGTATTATTATACGGATTATCTATGCGTGAAACGAAAATGTTATAAAAAATATCTTTTTCTAATACTGGCCTAAAAGAATTTTAGAAAAACAAAACAAATCATGTTCATCGGTTCAATTGGATCTTGTTTTAGGACAAAAATATGCAATGAATCAAATGAAAACCGTCATATCGACCGTCTTACGAAATGCAAAGATTTTATCATCGGGACGCAAAGAAGACATTAAAATTAGTATGCAATTACTTATCAGAATAGAGTCACTTCCAAAAGTGAAATTTTGTAAGCTTTAGTAATTTATAATTTATAAAAATATTATACATAACTACCTAGGTTGTTATTAATCATATAAAAACAATTTTTATGTGAAAATAACAGTCACAGAGTTAATATGTATACTTATGTATATCTTATATCTATGTATTATCGCCCAAAATTTACCGGTTTAATTTAAACATTATTCATTTTTTAAATATTTGATGTTTGATTTTTAGTTATCATACATATTTATATTATATAATATATTTGTATTTCTGAGTTAGAACAGATATGCTATTTACTATGTATAATTCACACTATTCAGCACTGCTCTGGCCTATCAAACACAATAAAAGTTTGATAAAATTAATAAGTAAAACAGTAAGTTTGATCAAATTACCGACTTTGAATGAGAGAGCATAATTGAAGTGTCAACAAACATGATATTATTTATTCGTGCATTTAAAAATTATTAATTCGTAGCAGTACCAATCCTACAAATGTAAGAAATATGTCAAAAATATTTAAAGTTACAAAATAGGTAGTAAAAAGTTAACAGTAAACTGGTGGTAACAAACGATATACGATACACCCGTAGAATAAAACCACTGTATCAATGTAAATAATTTTAAATTTTCTTAAAAAATGTCTATTCCTACTAACGAACTACGAACAATATCTCAGATACTGCAGACCAACAAACACAAGCAGCTACAGTGCTATAATTAGTGTCTTACGGAATGCGTGAAAAAAATGTGTCTGTTCGGCACCAAACAATATAATATATTGGTATTATAATTTTGAACTCTTACAGATGACGTTTAATTATTCGCATAACTCAATAAGGTTCAATTAGGTACAGAGCGGTTATAAAGGTCATCTGTCTATACACTTTTGGACGAAAAACTAAGTGAATAACCAACCATTGCAATTTAATAATGATAGTATATTTTATTATAAAAATTTTGAATTCGTCGAATTTAATCCTCACCTTTAACTAAAAATATATATATATATATATGGAACAGTAAGTATATTATAGGTTAAATTCGAGATTTATAATCAATTATATTAGTATATAATGATGTACCTATTGATTAAGAGCATAAAAGTTGCAGCGATGGCATAAAAGCGATTTTAACACATTTAATTTTATAAGTCAAATATGTTTCAATTGAATAATTATTATACAACAAAATAATAGAATATTTCTATTTTTATGAAAACGTTTATTAATGCCGTTTGTTGTTCTTTTGCATAATATAAATATATTTAGTCACTTAAGATCAGTTTAATTTATTTCAATTATTGTATTCGCCGTAAAGCAGAAACCGAAAAAAATAATGATTTTTGTTTCGATTATATTGTAAACGGTTAAAAATTACAAAAAATTACCAAATAATGCAGAATAAAAATGAGTTATTTTAATTTTTTAATTCGTTTGTTGTCGTTGAAAACCATATATTTTTAGTTAAAAAAGACTACATTGTTGTCTTGAATACAAAAAATCATAAATACCTAATGATGTCGTATATCATTGCCGTTGTATGATTACAACAAGAATTATTATTATGCACTACGACTGTGACCTCGGGGATAATGCAAATCAGTTATCACATTTTGAGCGACGTTGTACACGTCAAACTTCGCCAGATCGGTGCCGATCGCCTTACAAAATCAAACACATTTTTTGTACCGGGCACAACAAGCCTGCGTAACTTAACACCGTAAGCTCGTGAATGACTGTATAGTGTCATGTAATATCATTATTTATAATACATTTCTTATTGTTTAATATTTATAATATATCATATTGAATATCGAGACGACATAATAATAATATTGTTCATCATACTAATTATTATCCTCTACGCCAAAATCGGTTGATTTGAACTGACTTCCACGGCCGTAACGGAAATGATCGAGCTGAACTTTTACAGTGTGGTTTTGATGCCATTAGCGGGTTTGATATCGTACGCAATATGGTCGCGACTGCGCATGCCTGTTGAATACCKACAGATATCATCTCACGTGCCGTCTGTCACAAAAAGTTTTTGGACTGAGATGGTGCTTTCGTGGAAACTCGCGATGCTTCAGCCTAAAGGTATGCCTACGCTCTTAACTCGTTGCAACAATCGATAATAATTTATCTTAATTGATTTTCGATCCGATCGATCGATCGATGACCACGCGTGTAATACCATGACATAGGTATAATAATATTATATATATAGGTAAAATATTATTGTGCAGACCCAACCAACATTATCCGTCAGTTCGTCTGCGTATACATCGAAACGGTATAGAAGGTTTACCTATAATAGCCAGTACTTAAGTACAAGGTGATTCTTTTATGAAACTATAAGCACACTTTTTGTTAAAAAGTATCGATATTTTTTGACGATATAGTTTTATAAAAATCAAATTTCAAAAGAGTAAAGTTATAAGCCAATATCTGCCAATTAATTGTTTGTACCCATGTGGGGGTAAGTAAATCAACACTTATTGTTATTTGAAATACAATTGTTTTACCTACAATATTCATCGAAACTCGCAGAAAATAGCATTCTACTTCTGAATATGAAATTATGCTATCATTTAAGTAAAAACTTAACAATTAGGTATTGCCGATTTTAAGAAATGCAGAATTTATATAAAACTTGAAAACAAAACTCACGTAAAAGATGTAACAAATTACTAAATCACGTACCTAATTGAAAAACTATTATGAAATATTTACGTATTCTTATATTTGACTAGAAATAATAATGTAAATACAAAACGATCAAGTATACCACATAACAATAGAAAGAATATTAGAATTTAAAAACTAAATCAGACATATGAACCAGTTGCCCTTAAATTATCTTTTTTATACCATTTATCCTCAAACTCCCTAGAACAAGTTTCCCCAGTTCCTATTAACACATTATATACATTATAAACGATTCAATAGCTGGCGTAAAATCTGATAGGTATATATGTAAATGAATAAAAATAAAAATAAACCATATACAATCAAAGAATAAATACAAAACCTATTTATAATAATAATAATAAGCGGCATACGATGTATTTTGTCAAAAAAAAAATAAAAAAAGATTAGACTAATAACATATTTTTTCCACAAATTATTTAGATATAATACCATTTGTAACGGAGTTATTTAGAGAGAATGGTCCAGTAGTTCATTTTAACCTTGCAGGCAGATCTTACGTTTTACTTAACGATCCAGACGATTTAAAAGTAAGTATATTTTAAATTAATTTAAATATATTACACAATAATATCTCATAAAATATTACATATTTAAATAATTTAACCCAACCTAACCTATGAATATTATATGTTGATCACATAAATTAATAAATAATTTATATAATCAACGGAAATATGAGTTTACTTAAGCTCTTAATAACATACTACTTTTGTGAGTTTATCAAAGATTTAACAATTTAACAATTACCTATCAAATGATTGCATGTTTAAAATAAATACAAATTCAATTATACGAGTATTTATATTTATAAGAGTATTGTAATGACTGATAACCTTTAAAAATTACCCATTTGGCCATTTATAGTATACTTTATTATCTATAAAATTTATCTAATTTTTTTTAATTCAGTTTACCTCAAAATAAACCCCTAAGGCTCTAATTGATTTTTTATAAGATTATAACAAAATATGTTTGTGTTATAAAACAAAAAATAAATACTTTAAGATTAGATCGATACATTTTCAATTATTAGTTTTTTTTTTTTTTTTATAATAATCAATATTTATAAGATTTTGAATTTTTTATAATGATTAATAAATCATTAAAAACCTATAAGTTATTGTCTACCAATATGGTGTACCTGCTATGATGCTAAAAAACGATTAATTAAAACGACTAGTGAGTTTCTTTAACAATAGCCGGACATAAAAATGTAAATAAAAAAATATAAATATTAAATTCAATTTCCACACTATCACCACCGATGCCATATTCATAACCTCAACCCGGTCCGAAAAGTATTTCAAAATTTTGATGAACCTGCATAACTTGACCATATGATGAATTTGCATAAAAACAGTTTTATTATTCAGGGTGTTAGAATCAAACTGCAGTCTATTAATACCAACGCCATAATATTATCATAAACTTACCCTAACTTCAATAGGCATCACTTGGTAGACGATCGAGTGACGACTGGCGAGTATACATTGTAATATTTGTACTGATGATGAATCCGGGAAATCGCTGGTAACTGATTACGATAGATCGTAGCAATGGCATTTTGATCCGAATTTGTTGATTAGTTTTCGACCAACACGTTTCGGTATCGATGTCCTGCAAAACACCGCAAATCATTATAATAACAAATAAGTAATAGTACATCAGCTTTTAGTGATTAAAGATTGGTTGTCATCGGCTATTACAGTAAAATAATAATCATATACTATAAGGTTATTAATAAATGTGCATTTAATATAGATTCTGTTATCCAATACACAATATATCAAAAAAGGGCCAGAGTATGAAATGTTGAAACCATGGCTTAACGAAGGTCTTTTATTGAGCTCAGGTATTTTTGTCACGGTTAAATGAAACAATAATGCACACACATTTCTGTAACTCGATAACAAACATTACATAGGTATTTATAATGTCATAATATATAGGTCAGAAATGGCAGAGTCGACGAAAACTCCTCACCAACACGTTTCACTTCAAGACATTAGACATGTACAATCCTTCCATAAACAAACACTCGCGCATATTGGTGGATAAGCTATTGGACGCGTCTGCAAACGACGATAAAGAAATCTCCATCTCTGAATACGTGACTTTGTGTTCTCTGGACATTATTTGTGGTAACTTTTATTACGAACCATTTAATTTTCTGTAGTTATAACTGGTAGGTGTACACACTACCACTGAACTGTAAATATATACCGGAAAACTTATTTCGTTATCACAATGTCTCCCTATTAGATTCTGAACGAAGTGATGAATGTATTGATTTTACA